TGAGCGCATCCGCCGCCAGCTGTCGCTCACCGGACCGCACGCTCACACCAGAGCAGCCGCCGATGCGGAATTGCTCCGAGAGGTACGCCGGGTCGTTGAGGTCGAAGCCGCCGAGGGTGGCGCTCGACAGCTGGGGTGAGCCCTCCCCGATGAGCGCCATCGAGCCCTTTGGCTTCTTGATGGCCTTGTGCAGCTTGTCCTTGACGGCCGCCGACGGGGGAGCAAAGTCGCCCTTCTCGAGCGCCTGCTTGGCGGAGGCAGCCGCCGCCTCCGCGGCGGCGCGGACGGCGGCGGTGCCCGCGGCGGAACGGCGGGAGGCCGCGTCCTCGACCGCCATTCGTGCGAGCTCGGCATCGTCGTCCTCCTCCGCACTCTCGTGCTGCTCAACGCGGAGGAGCGGCGCGGGGCGGCGAAGGCCCTCCGCCACGCGCGGGCCAGGGCCCCTCAGCGTCTGGTACGAGGCCGCACCAGCGAGCGCGAAGGCGGTGAGAAGAAAGCAGCGGGCCATGAGAGTGTCGGCCGTGTAAGTGAGCTCGGACGCGAAAAGAAATCTGCTGGGTGGTGCTGCACACATCAGGCTACGGCGGCGGCGGCGGCCGACGGCCGACGGCCGACGGCCGACGGCCGACGGCCGACGGCCGACGGCCGACGGCAGACGGCATACGGCCTAGGGCTCGGCTGGGCGCGCACGCGCACGCGCGCGCGTCGCGCGCCACGCGTCGCTCCGCGAGGGCGCGCGCCAACCGCGATTCGAACCGGGGCCAAAAGGCGCCTGGAGCGACCGCGGTCCGGTCGCGCCACCGCGGCTGCGGGGCTGATAGAGCAGGCCGGCTGCGGCTCCTGATGTACCTCCGCTTTTGGTTGGCGGTCGCGCGCTGCCGACGGCGCTCGCCGGCGCTACGGCGCTCGCGGCGCGCTCGTGGCGTTCGGGGCGGCTCGCACACGCACACGCACACGCACGCACACACACACACACACACACACACACACACACACACACACACACACACACACACACACACATGCACAGACACATGCACAGACACACAGCCCCTTCCCCTCCCCCCTCAAGGGCGAGGACACGCACAGGCCGCACCTCTAGTGAGGCCCGCATAGTATGTGGGAGACTCGTGCCGCCGCCCCTGCCACCCCTGTGTCAGTGTGCCTGTGGTAGGAGAGACTGCCAGCGACAAGCTGGAGGCAGGTCGCTAGACTGAGATGAGACCGCCAGTGGATGTGGGAGTCCACCGCGCACCGCGCTGCGAGCCTGTCGTGTCCCTTGTCAGGAGCAGGAGAGCCCCACCTGTCCCCCTGATCGTTCTTCCAAAATCCTGCTCGTGCAGGTGGGGACCCTGTCCTCGTCCCATCCCTCGTTTGGCGTGTCTGTTTTCTTTCTTTCTTTGCACACATCAGCGAGCTCCCGCGCTAACCCGCGCTTACCGTAGACGAAACATAATCGCTTTCTTTCTTTTTAGGACCGAGGGGGGGGGAGCGAGCCCCCTCGGGAGTGGGGGAAGGGAAGCCGCTGAGGAGGGCTTGAAGGGGCCATGTTATCCTGAGAGCGTCTCACGTTTTGCGTCTGCTGTCTATTACATGGTCTATTATCAGCTCCGAGTAGAGGGGGCGTTCCGCAGCTAGGGGAAACCCAAAGGCAAAGCGCAGAGCCAACCCCTCGGAGACCCGTGTTTACTTTTTACGCCCCTTTCCCTGCGAACGCGCACCCCCCAGGGCTAGGGCTTCTCTTGCCCGCAACCCGATCCCAATCATCTGGCTGGCCCTCTGGGTGCGCTTCTTAGCCCCCCGGCCCTTGCTCCAAAGTGCTCCGAGCATAGCGGATGAAGGTCGCTGCGAGAATACTCTCTAATACTCAATACAGAATTGTGGCGAGACACTGCGAAGAGAGATAGGAAGACGAGAGGTAGACGCCCCCGAGGGAAGGGTGGGTGACGGCTATTACCACACTCCTGTCCTTAAAATCCCGCTGTGTGGTGGCGGCGTGCCGTCCTCCCATCCCTCCCTTGCTTGCCTTGGTTCTCTGTTTTCTTTCTTTCTTTATTCTTCGTAGTTCGTTCACACTTCACTGGCGCGCACACGAGACACGACACGACCCCCAAGGGCGTGTGGACCGGCGCACGCTGCACAGAATCAGAATTCTCGGAACCGCGTCACTCTACCCATCACCACCATCCGACACCGTCTCCCACCCTCCGCTGCTGCTCCCGCTCCCGCTCCCGCTGCTCCGCCCCTCCCTCCCGCCCCCCTCGCTCTCCGCGACGCTGGCAGCGAGGAGCGCGGCGACGGGCGCGGCGGCTGGCGGCGGCGGCACCTCCCCTCGCGTGGCGTCGTAGTACGCTCCCGCACGTGCCTCCACCGCCGCCTCGCCCCCGGCCTCGAATGCGAAGGCGAGGGGTAGCGACGGCGCCGCCGGGTCGGCGAGGCCGTGCGCGTGCGCCTCGAGATGCAGGTGCGGCGTCGGGCAAAAGCCGGCGTCTCCACTCTCGCATAGCCGCTGCCCGCGGCGCACAGGGTCGCCGGCGCGGACAACGGCCGAGCCGGCGCGGATGTGCACGTACTCGAGAGTGGTGGTGCCGTCCGGGAGGAGCTGCACGACCGAGTTGAAGGCGAAGAAGAGGGACGTGTCCGCGCCGCCTCCCGCGGCACAGCCGTCCCGCACCTCTGCAATGGTGCCGTCGGACGCAGCGAGCACTGGCGTGCCCACCGGCGCGTCAAAGTCGCATGCGTGCCACGTCGACGGGTGCGCAAAGTGGGTGAGCGCGCCGCCCGCGGCCTGCGAGCAACGGAAGGGCAGCCCGGCGCCGGCGGAGAGAGGGAACGAGAGCACCAGCGGGTCACGAGGCGCCGGCAGCGGCGGAGGCTGCAGCGGCACGATGTCGGAGACAACGTCCACGTCGTGGATCGACGCGAGTCCGAGGATGACGCAGGCGTCGACCACCTCCTTAGGACTGAGATGGATCACCATCGTCGTCGAAAACTGTGGGCGTCCCTGCTCGTCGCGCCAGCGAGAGCGCGCCAGCACGCCGCCGGCGCCGCGGCACGCATGCCTGCGCACCGACACAAAGACTGCGCGCCCCTCGCAAGTCGGGTTGAGGACGGTCAGAACGTGGATATTCGGCTCGACCGACAGATCCGGGACCGCCTCTCCCTTTTGCAGCCCGAGGGCACGGCGGGAGAAGGCTCGCCGCCCGAGCAGCCAGGCCGCGCCGGCGTCGCCGACGTGGACGCCGGGCCAGGCTGACATGGCGAGCAGGTCCAGCGATAAGTCGGATGCCAATGCCAGGCAGCCTCCTGGGACTCGCTGTCGTCTTTGTCGCCCTGGGTTCCGGCTCCTACCCGGATAGGGGGTCTCGAAAAAACGCCCTACCTACCTACCTACCTATCCCCAGGCCGCGCAGCGAAGCGAAAAACGATGAAAATAGGGGGTGCCTACCTATTGCAGGGCCCTTTTGGGCCAAACAAGACCAACCTACCTACCTATCTGGAAGGGGCCAGCAAGCAGTGCCGACAGACAGACCCCCTATCCGGGTAGGAGCCGGAACCCTGGGAGAGCTCTTTTAGAGATCAGACCTTTCGATGGTTCATGCTTTCTGGATCCCTATGTCGTACTTTTAGCTTAACTGGGAGAAAAGGGAAAGCCAGGCGCGATTTCTGGGGGGCCCTACCACTCAGCGCAGTCGGAGAAGCCGGTGAACGAATCTTCGGAGAGGATGGGGCAGTCATCACTGCCGCGCTCACTGGGTTCGAGAGATTGTGCGAGAGATTGTGGGAGAGAGCTTGCGTCGGAGTCGTTCCTCCGCTCCCACCTGTCGAGTGCAAGCTTCCAGTTCCTTGGAGTCGAGGTACCAGACGCCGTCAACCTGCCCTGCGCCCTGAGCAAAGTCGAGGGCCATTTCCCTCTCGGCCCGAGCCTGGGCGGCAGCGGCCTGGCGCGTTGCATTCTTCTTTGCGTTTGACGGCTTCTTCTTACCGCCTCCATGGGTGCCCGCTCCATTGCCGCTCAAGTGCCCACGCGGGGCAGCAAGGGGCGCTAACTTGCTTGTCCGGAAACCTGCCTCCGAAGAGGCATCTGCGATTAAGTCAGCATGCACGCTCAGGGATGATGTCGTCGAGTGCACTCGTAGGGCACTCACTCGGGTGATCCCGCTTTGGTGGCTGAAGGACCCGATGGTCCTGTCACATTCGCGTTCCGAGTCGTGGGGGTAGAAGAATTCGAGTAGAAATCGAGTCAGCACTTCCTTGTAGTACAGCGGACCGCCAGGCTCGCTGGCAGCATCCGCAGGGAGGCAGCATATGAGGCACCAGTTTTCTGGAGAGCTCAACAGCTGCAGCCGCGATGGCAGAGTCGGCCGCGGTTCGAGCGAGCAGCTTTTGGCTGCGGCCTGCGGGATCGAATCGCGGAAGGCTCATGCCCTCGCGGAGCGACGCGGGTCGCGCGGCGCGCGCGTGTGCGAAATGCGACAAAAGACGAAAGACGACAGGCGCCTGAGCGCTGTACGCCTGAACTTTTGTCGCCGCAATCGCCACCGTCGCTATCTTGACGAGCAGCGCGAGCGCGCTCGTCGGCGGCCAGCCGTCGCGGGCCGGGCCGAGCCCGGCCTCGACCGGCCGCGCCGCCGCAGCAGGCCGGGAGGCCCGAATGGCGGCCGACCAGCTGATAAGGACTCTGGTCTTTCCGAAGGAGAAAAAAGAAAGGCACGAGCGCAACTCCGGCACGTTGATTTGGTCGAAGAGAGATAGGAAGTGGTAGACGCCCGAGGGTGGGCGACGGCTAGCACCACACTCCTCTCCTTAAAATCACTGTGTGGTGGCGGCGTGCCGTCCTCCCATCCCTCCCTTCGGTTACTGTTTTCTTTCTTTCTTTCTTTGATTGTCAAAATGCGTGTCATGAGTCACCTTCGAGCTACCGCCGCGTGACCCCTGGGCGACCCCTGCGCCACCCAAAGGCCCACTCCGACGGCGGCGCCGAGCGTTCCGTTCTCCAAATGGCGCGGATTGTCGCTGTTTTTCTCGCTCTCGGGCTCGTTGAGGGCAACGATTGGCCCAACATCGCGGGCTACACCCCCGGCTCGGACGTGACCAAGCACGCCAACCTCGACCTCGACCAGCGGGCGCGGGCCTCGATTTCACCACACCACGCACCTGCCACGGCCTGTATATGTCAGCGTCACCGAGCCCGAGCCTCCTCCCCCTCCTCGCACCAGGCGCTGGTGCAGGCGCTCAAGGGCGGAACTCCGAACTGGGAACTGGCGAACCACTCCTACGCCTTCGGCAATTTTTCGCTGTCGGGCAAGGCCCCCAACGGGCTCCGCACCATGAAGGGCTTCTCCACCGGCGCCGAGGGCAAGATGTACAACGGCAACAACTGCGCCGGCTGCCCGTACAAGACCTTCTCGGTCTTCTACGACTACTACGGCGACTTTGACTATGCGGACAAGTGGGTGAGCGCCGCCCTCGACGGCACCAACATGACCTTCAGCAGCGGGCGGCACGGCCCGAACGACTTCGCCACGCTCGGCGACGCCGCGCGGATCGAGGCGGTCAAGAAGGGGACGGCGTACATGAACGTGTGGATGTACGTGATCCGCGAGTTTGAGGACGCGATCGACGACTGCGAGACCTGCGTGAACGGTCTGAACTGCAACGAGTTCTCGGACTCGGACAGCCCTCAGTACAATGCGGTGCACGCGTGGGACGAGGGCGTCGCCTTCTACGCCGGCTCGCTCGAGGGCCCGAACGTGGGCGGCAGCTCGGCCGGCGAGATGGTTTACCGGCTCGCGGAGAAGCGGTGCGCCAACTTTGGCACCTGCGAGTCGGGGAGCACGGGGCTGTCGAACGTCAACAAAGAGTTGCTCGAGGACTTCATCGTGGGCGAAGCGCTCCTCATGAAGGGCCTCTGCCACGCCGTGCGCCCCATCGTCGACAGGATCATCAAGCAGATGACGGTGCCGCTCGTGCAGGGCTCGCTCCGCTACGCGTACAAGGTCGGCATGGCGCCGGAAGCCACCGATCGGTCGCAGAAGAACGCGGCGGAGGGCGCCGTCTTCACGGCGGCCGTGCTGCCCCTCGTCCACGAGTGCAACGTCGCCGCCGCCAAGACCATCAGCGACGAGATGAAGTTCGGCCTGTACGACCAGGGCGTCTTCCCCGACTTTGCGGCGGTCAAGGCCGCCTTCGAGAGCACCTACGACTGCCTCGGCATCACGTGCGCCGACGTGGGCGGCCTCTCGGATACCGGCGTGGCGACGGCCTGCCAGGATGCCGTTCCCGACGGAGACGACGACGACGACGGCGGCAACACCGGCGCCATCATCGGGGCTGTCATCGGCGGGGTCGCACTTGGCGTGCTCATTGGCGCCGTCATCTTCCTTCGCTGCCGCAAGGCCAGGCTCGCCAGTCCGGTCCCGGTCGACATGATGGCGCCGAAGGAGGGCAGCTCCGAGCTGGGCTGCGAGCAAGCCTGAGCGTGCCGTCTGCGGCGACGGAACCGCCGCGCTGCGCGGCTGCATGTCTGGAGCCTCGGCCTCTTTCTGTTTGGACTGTGTTCTCCCGCCTTGGTTGTGTTGAATAGCACGCGTCTGGCCGAAGGCTCATCCAGCCATATCTCGTGGTGTGTGCACTGCACAGTGTGGTTTCTTTATCTACATCGATGTAGGTCACGAGAGGCCCCGCCGTGCAGGGCGCTACGGGCTCCGAGTCTGGTGTCCTCTTGAGGAGATGTTAGTTAGATGGATGTTGTAGAGCCGTAAAGCGTAATGGCTAAAGCAGTAGTGCGTAGAGCATCTGCGGCATGAGATACTTTCTCGTTTAAACCTGAGACTAGAGTTCATTTACTCTGATTGCCACGCGGTAGCACTAAAAAAATCTCATCAGGCAGACACAACGTGTACGTAAATGGTAAAGCACCCCCCTCACCTACGCCTCGTTGCAGTCGCCCCCACGACCAGCTCCGCAAGGCCCGAGGCGAGGGTGTGGCAGTACTCGACGCTGGCCAGGGGCACGCGTACCGCGTTCCCGCCCTCGCCCCGCGGCTCACCAGCGCGCAATTCTGGGGAGCAAAGCACCACGGCCGGCCCCGCCGCGTCGAAGCTGAGCTCGGTCAGATCGCGCAGCGCCACCTGCCACTCCAGGCGGAGCCCGGTGACCGCCTGCGCCGCCTGGCCGCCGCCGCCGCCAGCGTGCGGCAGGTGGACGAGCATCAGCCTCTCCACAGAGACGAGCAGCAGCGCCTCGGCCGGCCCACGCGGCGCGCACAGCGCGCAGCAGACGAGCGGCTCGGCTGCGTACCGGCCGCCCTCGACGGCCTGCGCTGCGCCCCAGCCGGCGGCGTCGACGGCGTCGTAGCGCCGGATGGCCGCCGCCGGCCCGTAGAGCATGCGCGGCAGCCGGAGCCGCTCGCAGGCGCCCCCTGCGCCCTCTGGCCGGCCCGTGTTCTTTATTCCCTCGGACACCTTGGCGCCGAGCTCGAGCATGCCCGCCGTCGGCTTGAGCGCCACGCCGGCGAGCCCTTTGCCGAGGCCGCGCGCAAAACCCGACACGCCGCCGCCGTCGCGTGCGCCGCGCATCGGCGCCGCGACGATGCCGGTCAGGCCGTGAAAGAGACCACGGGACAGCCCGACACCGCCCTGCGCTATGCCCTGGGCGATGTTGCGCGCGGGAGCGACCGGCGCATAATCGCCGCCGCCGTTGAGCGTGCCCGATCTCGCGACGTGGAGCACGATCCGGTGGAGCTGGCGCAGCGTCTCGGCCTTGTAGTGCGAGCCGAGCTGCCGCTGCAGGCGCGCGCGCTCCAGAAAGATGTGGCGCCGCTCAAAGGGGCGCAGCCGGAGCGGCAGCCCGTCAAAGTTGGGCAGCGAAAGAGGCAGCCGCACCCCGCTCCGCGCCTGCCGCGCCACAACGGATGGCAGCCGCCGGTGCGAGACGCTCAGCCGCGCCTCGGCCATCGACAGCTCATCAACGTACCACGGCCGCTTGCGTGCCGTCGCAGGAGGAGGCAGCGCGACAGCGCCGAGCGCCGGCTCCGCCGCCGCGCCCTCGCCGAGGCCAGCCTCGCCCGCCGCCGCCGCAACCGCCGCGCTCAGCCGCGCGCCAAACCCGTGCACTGCGCCGAGAAACGCCTCCTCAATCTGCAGCTGCGTGTCGCTCAGCGAGATTGTGAGCTCGCGGATCCGCTTCTCCGTCCGCCGGCGCGAGACGTTGAGCTGCAGCCAGCCCGGCGCCGCCTCGGCGGCCGCCTCGCCGAGCAAGACGGTCGTCAGCCCGGCGCGCGGCAGCTGGTTGTCGAGCTGCAGCCGCGTCACCAGCAGCTGCCACTCGAGCTCAGTCGCCGACTGCATCGCCGAGATCACGATGGGAGCCGCGCGCGCATACGCCAGCTCGGAGCGGCGGCCGCGGACGTCGACCAGCGAGAGGCCGGCGGAGGCGATGAGGAAAGAGAGGGAGAGCGAGAGCTCGGCAGAGCGCGCCGCGTCAGTCGGCAGCCGCGGCGAGATCCGGAGGGCGCGGTGCGACTCGCCGAGAGACGTGACCGTCCAGAAGCGGGGCGGCGCGCCGTGTGCCACCGGCTCGCCGAGTGCGTCCACCGCAATCTCATACTGCTCGAGCGCTCCAGCATCGCCGAGCGGCGAGAGCAGCAGCACGCGCTCGCCGAGCGGCTCGTCCCACGCGTACGGCAAAGTGCCGCGCGCCGGCGCGAGGTGCTGCCGCTCACACCCCTTCTGCCGGACGGCGAGGGGGGCGCCGCACTCGTTGTGCAGCACGTAAGGCGGCACCCCCGCCGCGTCGAGGCAGACGAGCAGCCCGGCGTCGCTTTCCTCGACGAGCACGTCCACCAGCAGGCCGGGCCGGCCGGGCACGCCCACCACCAAGTCGTCTCGCGAGGGCTCGAGGGCGAATGCGCCGCTCCACGCGGCGCCGACCCCGCCGGTCGCGCCCGCCGTCGGCAGCGGGGGTGTGCCGCCGTCCGTGGCGACGTGTGCGAGGCGGAGCATGCGCTCGGCCGACGGCGTGCCACGCCAGTGGAGCGGCTGCGGCTCCAGCTGGCCCGCCGGCAGAACGAAGGGCGGGACAGCGGGCGGCAGCAGGCTGGGCCTCGCCGACGGGGAGAGCGCGATCGAGATGCCCGTCCGGTTCACGAGCCGGTAGCGTGGCCGCAGCACGAGCAGCCGGCTGCGCGCCGCGTCGTTGGGCGGCGCCAGCTGCTCGGCGGCGAGCTCGTATGGGCCGAGGGCCACGCAGCTTGAGCTCCCCGTCTCGCACTGGATCGCCTTGCTCCAGACGCGCTCGCCCGGCCCGACGGCGGCTGCGGCGGGGCCTGCCAGCGCTCGAGGGAGTCCGAGAGAGATGCGGTGCGCAGGCAGCAGAAGGGGGGTTGCGTCGCCGCCAGCTGCGGCGCTGCCTGCCGCCGCGTGTGCTCCATCGCTGCCCCCCTCCTCCCCATCCGCCTCGCTCTCCTCGTCCTCGCTCTCCTCGCCCTCGCTCTCCTCGCTCTCCGCGAGCCCTGCTGTGTCCTCGCGGTGGGCAGCCACACCCGCCTCCTCGGCCCCCTGGCCGGAAGCATCCGCACCCGACAGGGGTAGTGGAGGCGGCGGAGGCGGCGGCTGGGCTGGCAAGGGCGGTGGCGGCGGCGGAGCAGCGTGTGGCGGCGGCGGTGGCGGCGGCGGCGGCGGCGGCGGCGGCGGCGGCGGCGGCGGTTGGTGGTCGGCACCGCCCCTTCTAGAGCGCGCGAAGCTCTTCGTCCGAGCCGAGAGGCTCGACGCACGGCTCAGCAGCTTGCCGCGGGCAGAGGACGGCGGCGCGGCGGCCGCGTGCTGCGAGGCAGCGGATCGCGCCGCGGCCGTGGCTGATGCCGTGGTGGAGAGCCTCGAGGTGGTCGCGGCACGGCCGAGGGCCGGGCCAAGCCTCCTCGCGTTGTCCATCGCGGTGGCTGTCGAAGCTAAGCCCGCCGCGGGAGCGCTCTGCTCCGCCTCCACGCAAGCGAGGCCATCGCTCGGGCTCTCACCAAACGAAGTGCGGCCCGTGCGCGGATTGCGAGCCTTGGCCATGCCGCGAGGCCGCCGCACGCGGTAGCTGAGCGGCAGTCCCGTCTCGTTGACGAGCCACAGCGGCGCCGAGAGGCGCAGGCAGAGCACGGTCCGCTCGGAGCCGGCGCCTTGCCGCTCGATGTGGATCGCGGCGGGCCGGCCGTGAGGGTCGTCGAGCGAGCAGCTCGACGCCACGAGAGGCTTCCAGCCGGAAGCGGCGCCGGCGTGGTCTGTGGCGTACTCGGCGACGACGGGGCCCCACCGCCGCCCCATCCGCAGCCGCAATTGCAGCAGCTCCCCGCGCGGAAGGAAGGACGCAGCCGAGGAGCCCCCGGCGGGCAGAGTGCCCGCCGCGGTGGCGGGCACGAGGACGGCAGGGCTGACGAGGACGTACTGCACGGGGTACGGCAGCGCGCTCTCAAGGGCGAGTGCGGGCTGCAGCACCACCACCGTGCGGAGCGGCGGCTGAGCCGACAAGCTGTGCGCGCCGGCGAGGGCGAGCGCTGGCCGACTCGCCACCCGCACCGCCACCTCGTAGGAACCGGCACCGTCTCGGCGCGCCGCCGCCATCCGATGGACCACCGAGCTGGCAGCCTCGGCCTCGTGGCTGGCAGCATCGTCCGCCTCGCTGGTGCCAGCCTCCTCGAGGGCAGACTCGGCGTCGTCCTCGCCGCCCACCAGCCGTCGAAGCTCTTGCAGCGCCGCCTCGGGCAGCAAGCCCGCGAGCGCCTCCCCAAACTCACCTGTGGCACACAAGGGGAGGGGGGGGGGGGGGTTAGTCGTCTCTCCAACGGCGACGTCCCCGGCGTGTGGCAAGCACCGAGCGGACAGTTGGCGCGCAGAAGCCACAGAGCGCCGCCGGCGGTCTCCACCACCAACGGCACGCCGGACTGCTGCGCGGTCACCGGACCAGAGGCAGCGGCGAGGTGCACGCCTCGCACGTCGGCCCAGTAAGCGCGCAGCGCCGGCTGGCTGCTTGCTGCCGGTTCAAAGGCAAGCCGCACGTCAGTGAGGTGGAGTGTGCCTCTGGCGGCGCCGCCCGAGGCGCCGTCCACCTCGAGGCTGGCGGCACAGCTGTGCAGCACCGCCTCGCCAGGCTGGAGGCCGACCCGAGCTGTGAGCCGCGCGCTCGGCGGCGGGTACGCTGTGGACGCCAGCTGCGGGTGGGAGTGCGCCAGGTGTCGCAGCAGACCGTGTAGCGCGCGGTCGCGCGAGGCGAAGCCGCAAAGCAGCAGGACGCGAGGGGCGGCCGCCGTGGCGCGTGGCGCGGAGCCGCCCGGCGGGCCAGCGCTGTGGCAAATCGCTATGGCCGGCCTGCGGGAGAGGGGCGTCTGCGCCTTTTGAATTGCGGTCAGCTTGCCGAGCGGAATCAGCTCTCGCATGTCGCGCCCTCCGCGCGAGGCAAAGGCCAGGGCGGTGGTCGTCAGGTGGAGCGTGCCGTGCAGCCGCCGGAGGCCGTTTGGGTTGTTCGGGTCGTTGGCCGGTAGCGCGCACCGCCAGCTCTCGATGAGCGCCTCGGAGGCCGCGAGATGCGGAAACTGAAGCAGGAGCCGCCCGAGCGTTCGCGCCGCCTCCCCTTCCCGCGAGCACGAGGCGAGCCAGAAGGACGCTGTCTCGGAGGGCCACTCGTACGCACTCCCGTCGGGATCGCTCTCGCCCGCGCCCTCACCCGAGCGAGCACGCCCCTCGCTCGAATGGGCCGGCCGCACCCGCACGCGCGCCGACATCAGATGCGGCGGGACCGGGATCGACCCGCCGGGAGACACCACGCCGAGAGACACGTGCGTGTCCGCCGCCGCGTCAAGCGAGTCGCCTCCGATTGCAGCGGCTAGTGCTGTTGCTGATTCGGCAGCTGGTTCTGGCAGCGGCGGCGGCGGCGGCGGCGGCGGAAGCGTGAGGATCTCGACAGCGAGCGGCTCCGGCGAAGAATTTGAGAGCTCGGTGTGCGAACGGACTTGGAGGCTGAAGCCAACGGCGCCGTCTGTAGCGAGGAGCAGTGGCCGGCTCACGCAATACACGTACAGCGGCGAATGGCGCGCGCCGTCGGGCGGCGGCACGGCACAGAGGGCCCAGGAGCCCGAGCGGGCGAGCGGCAAGGGCGGCAGTCGGTGCCAGGACCCGGCCGCGCCTTGCACCTCGAGGCTCAAGTGCAGGCGCTGGAGCGGCCGCGCGTCGCGGGCTGACGCAGGACTCGAAGGAAGCTCGAGCTCGGTACTGCCCGCAGATGGCAGCTCCGCCCCGGACTGCTCCACGGGGGTTGATACCCCCTTGCCCTTCCCCTGCCTCTCTTGCAACCCATAGCGAAGCCGTGCGCCGCAAGCGTTTTGTAGCCGCAATAGTACTGGTGGCGCGGCGAGGCGGCTGGCGGCGGCAGCCGAGGGCGCGGCGAGCGTGCGCAGCAATGCGACGCGCCCGTCGAGCAGCGAGGTGAGCATCGTGTCCGAGAGGCTCGCCTCGAGTGCCGACCCGTCCGCGTGGGCAGACCACTTGCCCGGAACAAAGACGGAGCCGCCTCGCTGCGCTCGCTGCTGCCGAGCCGTGAGCGCGACATCCCACGGCTCGAGCAGCGGCTCAAACGCGGCCGCGCTGGCGCTGTAGACGGAAACCTCGAGGCGCGCGTTGACTTGCACCTCCGCCGCCACCGAGCCAGAGGCGTGCCGCGCCGCGTGGAGCAGCGGGGCGCCCGCCGCCGCGCCCTCGAGCCGTGCGGCACACAAGGGCTGGTCGCGGCCGCGCGCAGAGTAGAGTTGTGCCTGCACGTGGCGCAGCAGCCGCACCTCCAGCGAGAGGGAGTTCCTGCTCGCGAGAGGCGCGAGCTGACGGTGTGGCAGGGATGCGGGCTCGGCTCCGGCTCCGGTGCCCGTCGGGGCCGCAGGCGTGTCGGCCAAGCTCGGGGCGAATTCCTCGCTCAGATCCCGAAGCAGGCGGAGCTGCAGCGCGTCAATCTCCAGTTCGAGTGGCGACGACACCTGAACCTGCACCGCCGCTTGCACCCCGTCCGCCGCGGCCAACGATGAAGGTGCGGTGGCGGCGTGTGCCTCTGCCGCCACCGAAGGGGACGGAGCCGGCCTCGTGCTAGCCTGGACGCTCACCTCGAACGGTGAGATGAGCGGCAGCTCCTCCTCGAGTCCTCCGCGCGCAGCAAATGTGGTCGTCGCGCTGTGCGACAGATCGAGTGTGAGCTGGACCTGTGAGCCCTCGGACCCCTCGGAGAGTGGCATGGCCAGGTAGGTCGCAGCCGCCCTCAAGCGGATGCGCGCCCCTCGCCTCTCGCCTTGAGCCTCCGCGGGGTCAAACCTGACACTGCTCGGCGGCAATGACGCGGGAAGCAGCCACACCTGCACCACGGCCGGCTCGAGCTGAATTTGCAACGCTGTCGAAGCAGGAGCGGGCCCCTGAAGCTCCTGTGAGGAGAGGCGCGGCGGCGGCTGCGGCGGCTGCGGCGGCTGCGAATATGACTGGAAAGCTGCCGCTATGCTCGAGAGCTGGGCGACTGCCTCCGGCGAGAGGGTTGCATCGAGAGGCGCGATGCGAATCGCAACCAGCGGAATCGCACTCGCGTCGGATGGGGCGGTCCGTTCGACGACGAGCAACTCGTTCCCTTTGACCGTGGGCGACGTCTCTGTGCCCGCTGAGGTGGTGGTGGCGATGAGCGGTGGGCTGTCGCTCTCTCCTGCCCACAATTTAGCGTCTCCCACTGACGCGCGCAGGCAAGCGAGATCGCGCTCTGCGCCGCCGCAGCTCATCCCGAGGTGGTCCAGGCGGAGCGTGGAGGCGTCCAGATCGCCACCGCAGGAGACACGAACGACAACCGCGCTGACATGTGCTGCAACAGCAAAGGCGGGTGGGCCCGGCTCCAGCTTTGGCCGAAGAACTTCGAGACGCGAAGCGTCGTCAGCGCCCGCGCAGAGGGCAAGCAAACTGTGCGGCTCAAGTGAGAGGGTCGCTGGGTGGTTGGAAAGCAGGCCCGCTCGCAGCACCTTGCGCCCCACGGCCACGGCAAGTTCGAGTCGCGGCAGCTCGAAGAGAGGTCTCGCCTGCAAAGCATCGACGGCCGCGAGCGACTCGCGTTCCTTCTCCGAGGGCGACTCTGCCGCGCTCAAACCCTGTGCTGCGCGCGGGCTCTCCCATGCTGCAATCCCAAACGCGTCAGCAGCTGCTGCCACGTCGTCTGGCGGCTCCAGAGCGGGGAGGAGGGTCGCAGCAACCGTTGAAGCGCCCAGCAAAAGCTCCACCGCGCCGTCGGGCTCTTTCGACGCGTGAGCCTCGCTCGCCGGAAGGAGGCGGATGGCGGTGGCTTCAAGGGAGAGACGCAAAGCAGCGCGCACAGCCCGCTCTGCTGGAAGCGGGAGTGGCGGCGGCGGCGGCGGCGGTGGCGGGAGCACGCCCATGGCGCGGAGCTCGACCATGAAATCGAGGCCCGCGGCATGCAAACGCTCGATTCCGTCGACGGTGCCACCTGGTGGCCGCATCACCATCGGCTGCGTGGTAAGCTGGAGCTGGCTGGGACCGCGCCAGGTAATCGCAAACGCCGGCTCGCCTGCCCGACTCGCCGTGCGCATGAGAGACCGCTCCAGCCTCTGCGCGCCATCCGCCGTAGCGACTGCTTGCACCTCCAGCATCCCGATAGAGACGTGCAGCCCGGCAGCCACATCGCCTTCTGCAACGGTGGGCGGGTGTGTGACGCACAGCGAAGTGAGGCGAAGCTCGATGAGATCTGCCGCATCGTCGCTCAGCGCGAGGGAGACCGGCCCGCCCTCCACGCGGGCTCCGGCCAGGCTAGCCCCGCAAAGCGCGTCGAGCACGGCTGGCGGAGGAGATGCCACGGGCGGGGCGAGGGCCACCTCGTCGGCCTCGGCAGCGGCCGCCGCCGCTAGCGCTGCCCCCAGCTCCCGCGACAGCGCATCCATGTCCGAGTGGAGAGTCCACAGCGTGGGAAGCAGCGAACGGCCCACTGGTAGACACACCGACACGGCGCCAAACACCAGCCGCGGGGGCGACGCGAGGGCGAGACGTAGCAACGATGGTGCGCCGCCCTCCACCGTGGGAGCTGGCGCGACGCTCACGCGCACCGTCGCCTCGGCTGCCCGCGCGGCTTCCTGCGCTGCTGCGAGCATCGTCTCGCCGCCATACTCCTGTTGCTGCGCCGGCTCGAGCGCCACCAAGGCGCCGGCTCCGACGAGCTGCGGGGCGGTTACGGCCACGCGCACAAGAGAGACTCGCGCTTCGATAGCTGCGCCCACGCGCGGCCCCGCCTTGGCGCCAACGCCGCCAATCTGCGGCTCGAGTGGCGCACCGCTCACCGCGAGGCTGAGCGGCCCCGCCTCGAGCTGCAGCAACTGCTGCGCGCTCGACTCGAGGACCAACCTCGCGCCATCTAACCGCGCCTCAAACTCGAGCCGTGCGGCCGCGGCGGTGAGCGCTGGGAGCAACCGCCTGGGCGGAGGCGCGGGTCCAGCGAGCGCCGCCGCCTCCATGCTGCGAAGCGCCTCGCCCTGATGGCTCTGTTGCCGCAAGGCGTGGCGCAAAGCCTTGCGACCCGTCCTGCGGTCGGCGGCGGCGAGGTTGACCGCGATGGTGGCGGCGGCGATCGCCTCGGGCGTGACGCACAGCTCGGCGTGCGAGAGCGAGGCGCGCGCACGGAGGCGATCCCCGGGGGCGGCGGCGAGGCTGGCGTCGAGGCCGAGCGTCAGGTCGAGCGGCGCGAGAAGGAGGCAGCGGCTGCTCGTCCCCACCTGACCGGCCAGCGGCAGCACCGAAAGCGGCGCCCTCCATGCACTCAGCCGCAGGAGCTCCGCCTGCGCCCGCCCCACCTCGAGGTCAAAGCAGGCCAAGCTCCCGCACGCGCGGCTCACCGCCACCCCCGGCCCTCGCGCCGCCTCGTCGCCCCCGGCCGCAGGAGCGGCACGCCCTAGCCGTGCGCACGTCACCAGCCGCTCCGCTCGCAAGCAGACTGCGCGCGAGCCGGCCGAAGCGGGCTCGAGCAGCAGCAGCCACACCGGCGGGGTCAGCCGCGCGCTGAGCTCCACACTGAGGCCCGATTCGGGACGCATCGAGCCCACCGCACGGCGCAAGACCCGTGCAGCGTCGTCGCCGCGCGAGCTCGCACCGCGGCCGCCGCGGCCGCGGGCGGCGCTGCTCGCCCCAACCGCCTCCTCCCCCCTCCCTGGCAGCTCGAGCGGGCCGCCGCCCACGTGCGAGGCCGTCGCGAGGCCGGCGGCGACGAGCGCACCGACGCGGCTGGCGGTGGCGTGGTTGGCGAGGAGCTGCAGCTGCTCCGAGTTGTGTGCCGAGACGCGCAAATGCGACGCCCCGTCATCGCCGCCGTCGGGAGGCTCCCACTGCCAGCTCGCGCTCAGCTGCCAGCGCGAGCCGCGCCGCGCGTCGTCCGACCGCTCGACGAGCAACGGGAGCCACTCGCGCACGCCCGCCGCCACGAAAGCGGCGCGCGTGTCCACCTCGAGCGGCGGCATGAGTGGCCGGCTCTCCTCGGCCGGAACGTGCATGAGCGAGGATGCAAGGGGCACGCCGCCGCCGCCGCCGCCCGCCGCGCGGCCGACGAGCTCGACCTCGAGCGTCTTGAAGAAAGCGTCGGCCGAGTAGGCTGCGCTCGCGACGCCAAAGTTCAGCCCGCACGAGGTCAGGGTCGCCTGCAGCGCCGCCGGACCCGCCTGCGTGCTGCCACCGGCGGCGTCGGGGTCAGCGTCCGCGGCGAGCGCCTCTGACGGCGCGTGCAGCACGAGCACGAGCTCGGAGATCAGGAGGCGGCCGTGCAAAGAGAGCCGCTCCGACAGCCTCTGCGGCTCCTCGTCGCCCTCCTCGAGTAGCTCGGCCAGCGCACGCCTTTGCTCATCGCTCAGCACATCGTCCCGGCCGCCTCGTGCCGCCCCGGCGGCCTGGGCGGGCGGAGCGGAACTGCTCTTCCAACCGCTCCACCAGCCGCCGCCCCCGCCGCCACTACCACCGCCACCGCTGCCGCTACCGCTGCCACCGCTGCCGCTACCACCGCCACCGCTGCCGCTACCGCTGCCACCGCTGCCGCTGCTGCCGCCGCCCGCAGCGGCGCCGACAGCCGCGCCGTCGCTGCCGCCGTGGTTGCCCTTGCCGCCGCCCTCTCCGCCGCTGCCCGCCGCGCCAGCGACCTCTGCGAGCTGGTCGAAGAGGTGCAGCTCGCGCGCGGATAGCGCAGAGCGCAGCTGCGAGAAGGAAACCTCCTCGGCGTCGCTCAGCCCGCGCCCGGCCGCGAGCTGCTTGGCGCGCAAAGCGACGTATGCGCGCCGCTGCCTTGCCCGCGCCGCGATCTGCGCCCACGTGAAGGGCTCGTCGCGCGACCGGATCGCCCAGCGGACGGCGTCGGTCGCGTACCGCCACCAGGCGCGAGGGTGCGACGATGGGCGGCAGCCGAGCCGCGGCCGGAAGCGCCGATGCGCCTCGAGCCGCTCGAAGGCGCCGAGGTAGGCGGCGCAAGCGGCGAGGTGCGCCACGTCCGCCAGCTGCAGTCGCAGCGTGACGCGGCCGGCCTCGAGGCTCGCGGTGTGGCGGGGGACGGCCGCTCCGCCCGCTCGCTGGCCCTCCCTCCGGCCCTCCCTCTCGCCCTCCCTCGCAAGCGGCACGCCTCCGAGCGGGGCGGTCGACACCTCGAGCGCGAAGGAGAGCGGGTCGAGGAGGCAGGCGTACGCGTTGAGCCGCATCGCCGCCGGAGCGTCGACGGCGAGGCCTATAGCGAGGGTGCGAGATGCTCCGCCGCACGCCCTCCTTCTTTTGCCGCCCGAGCGTCGGCCGCGGGGCGGCCGGACGACTCGAGCCGGGAGCGAAGCTCGGCGGCGGTGAGGCGGCCGCGAGAGGGACTGGGCGGCAGCGCCGCCGCAGGCAGCACGTAGGCGCACAGGGCGCACACCAGCGCCTCGCGCTGTCGAAACGGCTCCTCGTCGGCCGACTGCTTGACCGCAGCTTGCGGCTCGTTGGCCTGCGCCGCGGGACAGACTCGACTGAGCGCGGCGCGAGGCGTGGCGCGAGGAAGGGTGGGCGGCAGGCAGAGACACCGAGTCGACGTGCGCCGGATGGAACCAGAGCGAGTCCATCGCGACCTCGACGCCGAAGGGGACGGAGGAGTGCGAGTAGTCCTCGAGGCGGACCACCGCCGACGTCACGACCACCTGCAGGTTGTGCAGTACCCGCTCCATCAGCCGGTCGACCCAGCCGCTCTTGTCGGCCCCGCCCGCCTCCGGCGAAGGAGCGATCGTGCCCGCCAGCGCCTGCAGCTCCCGCTCCTTGCGCGCAGCCAAGCGGCTCGCCTCGAGCGGCTCGTCCCACTCATCCTCACACACGGGCGCGACCAGGAGCGAGAGGCGGTGCACGCGGATCACGACGCTCTCGGTGCGCAGCTTGCTCCACGGCACTGAAATCTCCAGCTCTCCCACCTCTCCTCCTCGCACCGTCACAGGCAGCCCGAGGCTGTCGAACACGTCCGGCCGCAGCTCGACGCCGCGAATAACCATCGTGCCGCCGCTAAGGTCTAGCTTGCGCTCATTCTTCTTCACGTAGGGACCGATCAGCCGCTCGAGCAGCGCCTCGGCGACCCAGGAGACGACCATTCTTTCAATTCAATCGGTCGGGTGGTGAGTCGGCTCTTCGTTTATGCATGCATTGCCCCGGTTGGCAGGATTCAAGATTTGCGGCGCACAGGTGACCCTGATGATGCTGATCTGTGATCTGTGATCTGTAAGGGTCCGCCCGCAGGCGCATTTTGTATACCGAGGCGGTGCCCGGTGCCGAACCTGTCGGACCTTAAGACAGCATTGTAGATCCCTGGGCGAGGGTGGTGGCGTCCCCGTCGGGAGGGGCTGTCTGGGGGGCGCCCTCCCACCGTCACCTCACCAGCGTCCCGGTGAGTACGGCGATCAGAGCTCCCCCGTTCGTCAGACTTCCCCGTTGGAGGTAGGCCGCTCGTCTAGCCAATCAGCCTTAAGCGAGCGGCCTGGCCGTTGGAATGGCCGAGGTCGGTGGACTTGCGTCCTCGCATCGGTCGTGGTTACAAGCGGCGTTATGAGCAAACAAGTTACCATCCACGAAACACATTCCTCAGGAGGGGGGAGGTCTATATGACCTACCTAGTTGTCCGGCATGCGAGGCCGAGGGCAACCATGCTCGGCGGGACGGCGGGCCGGAATTCGTGGTGTTCTTTTAGTAAAACTAGCAGGCTGGCTCGCTAGTGGAAAAGGTTTACTGCAAGGTCCGTATGGCTCACCGTGTAGTCGGCCTTTCTTTCTTTCTGCCGCGTTCGAGAGCCCTGCTGCTCGATGTTTTCTTTCTTGTGTGTTGTTTCCGTCGAGCGAGAGGTGTGAGAGGGGGGAAGGGGAGAGGGAGGGAGGGAGCGAGCGAGCGAGCGAGCGAGAGAGAGAGAGAGAGTGAGAGAGAGAGAGAGAGAGAGAGAGAGAGAGAGAGAGAGAGAGAGAGAGAGAGAGAGAGAGAGAGAGAGAGAGAGAGAGAGAGAGAGAGGCGGAGGCACGCCGCACCCACATTAGAGCAGTGGATTGTTGAGCGGGTCGAAGTCGTCGCCCAATGATGGCGGCGGCGGCGGCGGCGGCGGCGGTGGCGGAGACGCCGGCGGGGAGGCCGGCGGCGGCGGTGGGGCAGCGGCGGCTGGGGGCGGCGGAGCGGCGGCCGGAGGCGGAGGGGACGCGCGCGGCGGTGGCATCGGCGGCGGCGGCGGCGGCGGCGGCGGCGGCGGCGGCGGCATCGGCGGCGGCGCGGGAGCGTCCAGCTCGATCTGCTCCGTAGTGTAGACAAAGTCCGGGTCGTTGGCGCGCGCTTCGATCGCGCGCGGGTCGTCCAGCGAGTTCATGTCGAAGAATGCCTCCTTTGGCGCTCCGCAACTCTGGCACTTGTAGTCGTCCGGGAAGAACTTGCCCTCGCGGCCGCGCGCGGGGAAGATGGTGAACGAGCACTTCTCGCACTGGAACTCGTGCAGTTCCGCCTCCTCCTGCTTGCTCGAGGCGAGGTAGCGCGAGTCGGCCATTTCGAGGAAGGCCTTACGGAAGCCGCCCTTGATGATGGCCTTGCGCACGAGCGCGAGCATCAGCACGAAGAGGCCGATGACGGAGCCCTGCGGCTTCGGCCAGATCTGCACTCCACCAAGGTTGATGTTGAGGGCCGACGGATCCTCAGTCTGCACCTTCTTGGCCGTTGCCGTCGACGCGAGGAGCTGACTGTTGCGCACGCTGACGCGCACCACCCGCTCGGCGCCCTGGTCGGCAGCCAGGAGCGTGCCGCACGACCTGCGGTGCTCCCGCACGACGAGCGCGGCGATCGTCCGCGGCCTCTGCAGCGCCAGCGGCGAGAGCCCGATGAAGGGCGCCACCAAGCATAAGGCGAGAGCCATTGCGGCCGTGGAGATCTCTCAAGTTCGGGCTCACACCGCGTACCCGGGACCCGGTACTCGAGTACCTCGCTGACATGCGCGCGCCGTCGAGCCTACGGCGGGCGCGCTGCGGCCGCACGCCAAACCAAAAGTCGTAGTGCCACGGTGTGCGGCCTAGATTCAGCACACGCACCAGAGAGTTGTGTGTGTTGTCGCACCCAGCCAGCCAGGTATGCCGCGCGGCGCGCTGCCCGCAGGGCAGCGCCTGCCCGTAAGAACACACACTTCGGACGTTCGTCCTATAAAGGCTCCGAATGAGTGCATCGTAGTTTCTTTTTGGTCCTCTACGTTGTGAATTTCCTTTGAGACCTTTCGTCACCTCCACCGATAGAGGTGTCAGGCTGTGTTATTTCAAGAACAGAAAACACGGACCAGACGGCAGACAGACAAAATAACCTCCAACTCCCTCAGTCTCTAGGACTCCCCTCTCAATGACCACCTCTATGCACATTCGAGGTGGCCTTATCTTATGGAGGGAAGTGCTAGAATCATCATCCAGGAGGGAGGGCCCCCCCCGCCCGACCCGCGGATACTCCCTCTCGCGCCGGTTCGGCACGCGGGAGATTGCCACGTGGACGGAGGGGTTATTTTGCGAGGTGGAGGCCGACCTCTCAAGCAAGCTCGAGAGGCTTCGGATACCGGGGCTATCAAGAAAGATATATTGCGCCCTTTCTCCTCAACGGCTATCCCTGCTTCGCAAACGGATTTCTTTTGCACGGACCAGACGGCTCCATCACTGGTGAGTCGGGCCGGTCGCCACACGATGCAACGCCTCGTCCCTCGCCCATCCGCGCGAGTGTCGTCGGCGTCCCAGCGCCGCCCGCCTGCTCACGCCCTCGTTGACGCCGCGCGCCTGCTCACGCCCTCCAAAGCTTTGCCGTCGACGTCTCACGCCTGCGCCGTTCCCGTGCGCAAACCCGCCTCCGACTTTCACCTCCGCCGAGGGCGTGTCATCGACGTGCTCCGCGAATCGTACCCGCGCCTCTTTCAAGAGCGCCCCGACATGTCGATTTACGCGAGGAACATCGTCTGCTTCCGGGCTGACGGCGGCGGGCCGAGGGTCCGAGGCATTGCTGCCTACACACGCATGTTCGACGCGCTGCACCTCTCTCGGCGCACCATGGTTGCCGCGGCGGAGCTGCAGCACAGGCTGCACGTGTGTGACGATGACACCATCCGCGTGCGGTGGGCCGCGAAGATCTGGCTGCGCCTGCCCCTCCCTCGCGCTTCGCCGCTACACGTCGACGGCGTGAGCGTCTACCTGCTCGACTCGAATGCGCGGGTGGTGGTCCACCGCCTCGAGTTTGTGGACGTGCTGCACGACGGTCGATCTGCAGCAGAGGGCGCTGCTCAGCCGCTCGCGGGTCCGTTGCCGCTGCCTCTCGTCTCGTGCGGCCGCGAGGGCGACTCGCGGCTACCGCTGCGAGGCGCTGGCTAGGAATCTGGGCAAGGCCAAGGGTTTGTAGGTGCTACGGTAGTCGAAACGGTAGGTCCCCGGAGGGCAGGAGAGGGGTGTGTAAAATGTTACTGCGCAGGCCTGGCCGCAAGTCGGAACACAGCTCATGTGTTTTGCGTGCAGACTGCAGTCAGAGTCCGATCGAGTGTCGTGAGTTACGAGTCGTGTTGGGTTGTTACCCGGAGAGAGGAGGGGAGGTGTATGGTTTAGAGGGGGGAAGCTAGGCGGGCTCGAGTCACCAGTAAGCCTAAACCCTCTCGACGGCTGGCCCGCTCGTCCCGTTGGTTCCGACAGCCGGCGTCCCCTCAGGCACCCCCTCTCCCTCACTCCTACACCTCGGGCTCGGTGACACAGCCCGCGGCGGCGGCGCGGCGGCGGCCGGAACCGGCGCTGCAGGCAGCGCAGCGGCGACATCGGTGACGCTAGCTCCCAGCGGCACTGCGCCGTCGACGAGGGCGGCGTTCATCTCGGTCACGCGGTGACGGCTCGTGCGGCCGCACGGGCACACCGCCTTGGCAACGCGGCGCCTGGCTTCGCGGAGCCTGTCCAATAGACCCCCGCAGCGGGCGCGGCAGAAACGGCTGCTGCGCGTGCGGCGGCCTCGCGTGCTGCACGCATAGGCGGCGACGCAGAGGCCGATTGCGGCGAGGCTCGCTGCGGCGGCGGTGGCGGTCGTGCGGTCGGCCGGGCGGCAGCAGCAGTCGAAGTGGTCGCACTGCTCGTCAATCCACAGGCCGGGCAGCGTGGCGGGCTCCTCGAGCAGCCGGAGCAGCGCGGCCTGCATCGAGACGCCGCCGCACCCGCGCAAGAAGAAGTCACCGCCGAGGCTGTCTGCGTGGCGGTGGCAGCGGCTCGAGTAGACGTAGCGCTCGCCGACGGCGAGGCTACGCGCGAGCGCCGCCGTCTCGTCTGCGAACCGCCACGCGAAGGCCTCTTCCTCCGGGCCCGACGGGCGGCAGCCCCAGTGGCCGCAGCCCCCAAAGTCGTTGTCGAGCTGGTAGGTGTCAAACTGGGAGCCGACGGCGAGGTAGGGCGTGCGCACGGAGAGCAGCCGGTACGCGCCGAAGAGGCACCTCCACAGCTCGTCGGCGTGCTCCTCGGCGCACTCCTCGCCGAGGTGGGTGACGTTGGCGAACGACGCGACGTTGGCAGTCGCGTTTGCCAGGCCGAAGAAGCTCTTCCTGGTCGACGCCCACGGCCGGAGGGGCGGGTCGTCGAGCCACATCGCAGAGTCGATGAGGCCGCGCACCTCGACGCGCCGCCGCGCCTCTCGCGGGAGCGGGAGCATGCCGCGCACGTAGTCGAGGTGCACCATCGCGCCTCTCGCGCCCGCAGACACGCCGCCAAACAGAAGACGCGCGCCGGGCCCGAGGCCGCGCGTGGTCACCAGGTCGTGCAGCACCGCCCGCACGACCGCGGCGCCGCGGAACTCGAGGCCAAACGCGGCGGCGTCCCCCATGTGTGCATCCGAGGTGCAGTACGGCACGAGAATCTTGTTGGCGGCACCGAGCCGAGGGTGCGGCGATGCGAGCACGCCCGTCGCCTCGCGCTCCGCCGGCCAGGCTCGCGAAGAGCAGAGGTGCGAGGAGCGCCGCTCCCCGCCGCAACGCTCCTCGCAGCTCGGCGCGTCCCAGCACCAGCCGCCGCTGAGCAGCATCACAATCCAGTCGCCGCTCTCCGCCGCGGCGGGCTGCCAGTAGTAGCCGGCGGGAGAGCCATCGGAGCAGAGCGCATCGGCGTAGGCGGAGAGGCTGTGGAGCCGCATCGTGGTCGCAGGCGGGTTGGACGCAGCACAAGCACAGCAAGCTCTGTGGCCGTGCACGATCGCGCGATTGCCCTTTACTGAATTCTCCGCTGTAAGAAAATCGTCGTCACGTGCCGCGCCGCATTCCGCTAACTCGAGCGAGCCCAGGCAGGGCCGGGACGCTCCTCTTCACCGTGATGCTCATCGCCATCATCGATCGTCACCACGACGTGTCAGAGACTATGGAGAGTTCACGTCATGACGGTTAGCCGCTGTCATGACGGTTAGCCGCTGTCATGACAGCTGCCAGCTGTCATACAGCAAACGACAGCGACAGTGACACCTACCTGTCACCAGCTGTCACCAGCTGTCACCAGCTGTCACCAGCTGTCACCAGCTGTCGTTGCTGCTGTCGTTGCTGCTGTCGTTGCTGCTGTCGTAACCATCCCCGACGGTCCAACTGTCACTGCTGCTGTAATTGCGCAGCTGTCATTCCTGCTGTCATTGCTGCTGTCATCGCTGTCGTTGCTGCTGCTGTGCTGTCATTGCTGCTGTCATTGCTGCTGTCATTGCTGCTGTCATTGCTGCTGTCATTGCTGCTGTCATGAGCACCCCCGCAGGACAGTGTGTGGTGCCACTAGCGAGAGAGACAGGACACTCAAGATATAGATGCATGCGCGCGAGAGCGCTCACTCGCACGCCCGACGCCACATGAGAAGCCCTCTCAACAGTAGCCACGCACGGTCAGCAGCAGCGGGCGTGAGTCGGAGAATCTGCAAAACCCTTGCCCTCCTTCCTCCAGCATGTGCCGTGATGGGCTCCAGCGCTGGTTCATCTGCCGCTCAAAAATCTCACGCGAGCGAACGGTGTCAATCCTCAGCCGCGAGGATTGGGACCTTGAAATCCACGATCACAAGCAAACGCGCAGAGCATTGAGCAACACACCTCGGGTTGAACCTCTCAAGGTGCATGCTGTCACCGGCAGTCTGCATGCGCGCGTGTGGGCTGGAGGAAGGCACGGCGCGCGTGGCTGGCGTTCACTGTGCGAGTCAAAGCGCACCGGCCACGGTGGCCATTGCCGAGCCACAAGTGGCGTTGATCAGGAACTCTCATGTAGAGAGCTCTGCTCTGCTACAAGAAAGCAGGCTCACCCTACACAGAGAAATTCTGAGGCAGAGGAGCAGGAGTTTTGCAAAATGTGTGAGACGTACAAACGCTGCTGTGCAACAGGCGTTGAGAGCTACATCCACGCGCACCGGTGTCTTATTTTAGTCCATGGGGTGTACTGCACAGATGGGTGGGTGGGCGGTTGGGCCCGTTCACGAGGGCTATGGCTGCCTCACGGCTGTGCCTGTGGCGCTGCCTCGCTGTCGCTGTCGCTGTCGCTGTCGCTGTCGCTGTCGCTGTCGCTGTCGCTGTCGCTGTCACTCGCGGGGCCCCGCGCTGACATTGTCACCGCCTGTCGTTGGCATTCACTGGCTTCACTGTCACTGTCACTATGGCTGTCACTGTTCCTGGTGCCTTTCACTCCTCCTTGGCAGCGGCTGGCTGTCACCAGCTGTCACCAGCTGTCACCAGCTGTCACCAGCTGTCACCAGCTGTCGTTGCTGCCGTCGTTGCTGCTGTCGTTTCGCAGCCGCTGTCATGACATATTGACCACGTCATGACGGTTAACAGCCGTTTTAACCGTCATGACGTGAACTCTCCATAGTCTCTGAGCACTCCACCATCCATACTCTGCCGCGATCCCGGCTGCTGCGAGCACGGACGGCGCCGCCCGGTGCGCGCGACATGACCCCTGCCGTTCCCGCGCACACGCAGGGAGGAGGATGTGGAGTGTCAATGCGAAAGCACGACATATGAGCGCGCCCGCCGCCGCCATGCAGCCCCGCCCCTTCCCGCCGTCGATTTCGTCGCCGTCCGTGCGCGCGCCGCCGTTCACTCCGCCGCCGTCGTCGCCCCCACTTCCGCCGCCCCCGTTTTGCGCCTCGCCGCCGCCGCCGTTCTCCTTCTTCCCGCCGCCCGCGCGCTTCCCTCAGTCGCGCGCGCGCGCGGCTCGCCTGCGTCGCCGCCGCCGCCCCTCTCGCCGCCGCTCCCCTCACAGCCTCGTACAAGGGGGTGCCGCCGTCGGCGCCACAGCCCTCGCTCGCTCAAACGGTGACCCTACCCCATCCCCCTCGGTACTGTCCCCGCCGGCGGCGGCGCCGCCGAGAAGGTACGGCTGCGCGCTCTGCGGCTCAAAGGACCACAACCTCACCACGACGAAGAAGGATGAGAGGAAGGTGACCTGCCCCTACCACAAGGAGTTCAAGGCCGTGATCGGCAAGAAGGGCGAGGTCAAGTTCGTCAAACTGACGTCGATGGAGAGGGCGGCGAAGCGGGCGGAGGAGGCGGCGAAGAAGGAGGAGGAGGGGGAGGAGGCAGGGCCGTGAGCTGCGCAGTGAGAAGAGCGGCGGCGTAGTAGCGGTCGAGAGAGGAGTTGTTCTTCACACCGTGTCGGGAGGTGTCCGGCGACGAGGGGTCGCGACACACATCTCGCACGCGAGGTCGAACCATGTCCTCTTCTTCTTATTTCTTCACTACCCTGAACGCCTTGCCTATCATCATGGTTGCAACTGAAAAAGACCTCCAAGCCCTGAAGTCAACTGTCGGGGGAGGTGAGAGCCGAGCTGACTCGGCCTCTGCGATGGCCGCCTTCCTCTCCGTGTGGTGGGCGGCTGGGGCTGGCGTCACAACCTTCCTCGGCCCATTCACGGACACCAACAATGGCTACTTTGGCATGTGGGCCGGCTTCGCTGCCTCGATGCTCGCGCTGGCTGACTGCTTTGAGGCTGTGCAAGACCGGGTGCAAGGCGTGCGCAGCGCGGCCGCAAACAGTGTCGCCGACGAGTCGAGCCTGCGGTCGCAGAGCATACTGCTTGGCGTCGCGGCGCTGGTCGTGATGCTGGCGAGCATCGAACCGCTTGACAACCAGGGCGAAGCTGTCTTTTCCTTCGTGTCTGCCATCCTGACGATGGTCATTTGCCTCGTCCTCGTGTTTGCAAACATCGACCAGTCGCAGCAGACGCTTGCAAAGGTGATCTCCGTCGCCCTCTTTGCCCTGTGGCTTGTCACGGCCGGCGTCTGCACCTTCCGCGGACCGTTCGAAACGACGGGCAATGGCTTCTTCGGCGTCTACGCGGGCGCCTTCTTCTCCTTTAAGCTTTTTGCCATCTACTTTATCGAGGGCGGCTCGGTGAACAAGGCGGCCGCTGGAGCAGCGTAGAATCTATAAGATGGCTCTCCCGGGGGCCGCCTCCGTGCTCCTCCCGGCTGGCGCGTCTGAAGACCCTCGCGCGCGGCTTCGTGCGGCGTGGGGGCGGCGGCGCACGTCTGGTGGGCCGCGCAAGGGGAGTGGGATCCCTGCCCCGCAAAACGGGAGCGCCTATCAGTGTGCATAGCATGAAATTAATACTCGACAAAACCAACATGGTTCCTCCATACAACCGGGAGTCTGAGCCCTGGCCTCGATCGAGTTTATCGAGCTCTCCTCGCGCACAAGGACGACTCTTCTGACGCCCACTCCGATCATTTGCCGCCAAGTCATGTCGTTGCTCAGGTCTCACCGCGCAGCAACCCTTTAGCCGCACTTGGAGCACTTGGACCTACCTACCTACCTAGCCCTGGGGGGTGCGCGTTCGCAGGGAAAGGGCCGTAAAGTAAACACGGGTCTCCGAGGGTTAGCTCTGCGCTCCGGGTTTCCCCTAGCAGCGGAACGCCCCCTCTACTCGGGGCTAGTAAACACCAGACATAAATAAATAAATAAAATAAAACGGGCACGCCAAACGAGGGGTGGAAAAAGAAAGAAAGAAAACAGACAACCCAAGGGAGGGATGGGAGGACGAGGGGTGGACACTGGCATTCTTTCCAAGAGCGAGTTCTTCTCTGCGCAGCCCTTGAGCCCCGAGAAAGCGGAGCGAGAGTCTAAAAGCCAACCATGGGCTTCCTCCTTCCTCACGTCAGGGGAACGTGGGACCCGCTGCTTCAGCGAAGCGCCGCTCCCCGCGCTGCGTCTCGGCCGTCATCTCTGTCCCCCGGAAAGCTGTTGCCGCCGCTATCCGCGGCTGGAAGCGAGGCAGCGGGGCGGGTGGTTCCCGTGCAGTCCCCGCGGCCGGAGGTGGCGTCAGGCGGGCCGAGGGCGAGCGACCGGCCGCTCAAGCAGACGCCGGCCGAGCGGAGCAGGGGGGGCGGGCTTGAGGAGATGCACACCGAGGAGGAGCTCCACACGGGCGGCACCCGAGCGACGGCGGGCGGCGAGAGCTCGGTGGCTCCGACCCCGGCGCCGACGGGATCGTCGGCCGCGACGCCGCGCAGCCTCGAGGCGGAGAGCCTCGCCCTTGCCTGGCGGCTGCAGCAGCTCGAGCAGGAGGCGCTCCACGAGGCAATCACCGCAAACTCGCCGATGCCAGTGCCGGGCGGCGGCGGCGGCTTCGGAGCCAACGCGGACGGCCCTGAGCGGATGGAGACGGAAGGCGACGAGGACGCCTCGCTGCGGCTCGCAATCCGGCTGCAGCAAGAGGAGCTGCAGTGGCACCAGATGGCGTCCCGCCGCACCTTGGAGCAGGCGGGAGTCGTGCTGCACGGGCCCTCGGCAGCGAGCGAGGAAGGGCCGGCGGACTGACCCCTCCCAGCCGCGGGCTGGCGCATTCTCCAACGGCCCCACTAGCCTGGGCTACGCGGCGCTTGTGGCGTGTGTGCGGGAGGTGCTGTCCCTCCCGGGGCAGGGGCCGTGCGCGATCGCTTGCTTCTCGCGAGCGTCGGCTGGTGAGTGGTGTCAGTCTGTCAAATGATGAATCCATGGATTACGTCGACCGCGTATAAAAAAAATGAGGGATTACGTAAAAAGTAAAGACTCGCACGTGTGAGCACGTGAGCCGAGAGAGATGTGTGAGCGGAGTCCCTGCACCTCTGCACATAGCGCGCGGGGAGGAGCGCCAGTCGCTCCGCGCCGCGGGAGAGACGACTGATGAGACCGCCCCCACAGTTCCCCAGACCCGCGGCCGATTACTCGCCAGCCACCGCGGTGGCAAGCGCTAAGGCCGGGCAGAAGGTGCAGGGCTGCTCCCTAGGCTGCTCCGCTGGCTTCGCCTGAGAGCGGCTCAGTCCGAGTCAGATCCTCCGCGCCTCTTCCCCGGCCGACTGCCGCCGCCGCCGCCGCCGCCGCCAAAGTACTCATCCCGCCGCCGCTTGCGCTGGGACGCCTGCGGTTCCGCCTCGTCCGCCGACTCGTCCTCCTCCCCCTCGCCCTCGGAGGAGGCCGCGTTGAGCCCCTCGAGCAAGTGCACCATCTTCTGGGCGAGAGCCGCGTCCGCCTTGCCCAGCGCGCGCAGCGCCGAGCGCATCGAGTCCTCCGACGCATCCTTGAGCGACCGCTCCAGATCATGCACAAGCCGCGCGCCCGCTCGCACCGGAGCTCTGCCGCCGCCGCCTCCGCCGCCGCCGCCGCCTCCGCCGCCCCCGCTTCCGCCGCCATCATCGCCGCCGCCGCCGCCCGCGGCCGCTTCCGGCTGCCCCTGCTGCTCATTGGCGCCCGTGGACTCCTCATCGTCGTCCGACCAGAGGTCATTCTCCCAGTTCTTCCCCTCCTCGGCCGCCTTCCGCGCCGCCTCGGCCGCGTCGCTCAACATCTTTTGCACCTGCGCGTTGTGCGGCTCGAGCTGGCTCGCTCTCAGGTACGCCTTGCGCGCCTCCTCGTGCTTGCGCATCGCGCCCAGCGCGGCGCCGCGCCTGAGGCCAGGAGTGGGTGCCTCTCAGTCGGCGGGCGGCAGGGCGGCGGCTGGCCGCCGCCGCGAGACCGTAGATGGCCCTTGACCCAGTCTGGCTTGAGGCTGCACGCCTCCACGGCGTCGTCGAGCGCCTCGCGCCAGCGCTCGAGGGCCGCGTAGGCGGCGGATCGGTTGGAGAAGTAGACGGCGCTGTTTGGGTCCAGCGCGATGGCCTATCGGCGCGGGCCGCTAATCTGACGATAGACACACGCAAGAGAGCGCCCGGGCGGAAGTGAGGCACGCCTTGGTGTAGAGATCGACGGCATCGGAAAACATCTTGGCCTGGAGCGCCGCATTGCCCTGCGACTTGTACCGCTCGGCCTGCTCGGACATACTCGTCGTATCGTGAGGTAGCGCCGGGCGCTAGAGGGCCGAGGGAGAGAGGTCGAGGTTGCCGCCGCCTCGCAAAATTCTTTTTCGCCCGGCGGCTCAGTGAGCGCGCTCACTAGTGAGCCGCCGGGGCGGGCGCCTGGCGGCTCCGCGGAGCTCCTTTGGCTCGGCGCGGGCGGGGGCGCGAGTAAAAAGAAATTTATGGTGTTCCCTAGCATTTTTCGCGATGTGCGAAACAACGACAAGACCAAGGCACGGGCGGGCAGAGGAGCGAGAGAAGAATATAGGATGGATAAAGCGCCTGTTCACGGCATGGAGGGTGAGCCACGCTGAACGTACCGAACGTAGAGCCGAACGGGAGGAAGCCTGAGGGAGGGTGTAGAGGATGTAGAGTGTAGAGCGCTGTAGAGATGTAGAGATGTAGAGCGCTCTGGAGCGCTGTGACTGTAGAGCTCTACATCCGGCGCGTGACGATGTGAGTCCGATGTAGAGCGATGTAGAGCGCGATTTTGCTGTAGAGTTTGTTGTAGAGGCTCTACAGCCAAACCGCCGGGAAGGCAGTGACTCAAAGAGGTCGAGCCGCGCTAATGGGGTGTCTCCGAGCTTACTGGAGCTCTGATGGACGGCTCTGACTATGACTGACACACAGATAGTCACTCTGACGGCACACAACACCCTATAACTGCGTCATGACCAGCCTGCCATGCGTCGCCGGTGCCGCATTCGTCGCTGTGCTTCTTTAGCAGGCGGTGGACTGTCGGCTGCGAGGACGGTCGCATTTGCGCGAGGCGAGGCGAGCATTCAGACGCGTTGCATGCGCCATGCCTCGCGCCAGCGCGTGCGGGAGCTCCTGGCTGAGCGTTGAGTCCAGGCGAGTTGCGCTGGCCACGATCGCTACGCCGAGCCGAGCTGACGCGCCGAGGCGCCGGCCAGTCGCAGCCGTGAGGCATGCCACAGCAGCACCAGCAGAGGCACCTGCCACCCATTGGGCGGGCAGACAGAAGGCCAGGGCAGCACTGGCAAGTGCAACGCGCCTCATGTCGGAGAGCGACCGTGCCTCGTTCGCCGCTTATGATGTAGAGTTTGTTGTAGAGATTTCACGTTGTAGAGCGCCTCTACATCGCTCTACAACGCAGGCGCCTCGTCACGCGGCGGATGTAGAGCTCTACAGCGCTACAGCGCTCTCCAGCTCTACAGCTCTACAGCGCTCTACACTCTACATCCTCTACACCCTCCCTCAGGAGGAAGCCGGGGAAGACGACTCCGAGGAGGACGAACCAGTGGAAATCCCGTTGTCAGCTGTCACGATGCACCCGAAGGGGACCCCAGCGCCAGCATCATCCGTGAAGGCACAAGTGTTCGAAGAGAGAGTGGACCTGAGCAACGATATGACTTGGCGGCAAATGATCGCAGTGGGCGTCAGAAGAGTCGTCCTTGCGCGAGGAGAGCTCGATAGACTCGAGGGGCCAAGATAATCTAAGATATGCTGCGAGGAGGGCGGAGTTGCGCCGAAAGGCGAAAGAAGCCGCGAGAACAAGGGACCGGCAGGCGGCGGCGGCGTCGCAGAACGAGGCAGAGGAGAGCGACGCGACAGAGGAAGAAGCGACAAGGGAGAGAACGACGAGAGTGGGACGACCGAGAGGTGGCATGAAGGTCGCAGCAAGAGCGACGATCGGCTCGTCTCCGATCGCTGGGCGCGGTCACTCTCCGGCCCATCACCCGCCTGCCGATCACCTGTCCGCCTCGCCGCGCGCGGGCCGCTCGCCTGCTCGCCACCGCCGCCGCGTTTCCCCGCGCCGCCACGCTTCCCTGCACCTGACGGCGCTCGAGCTGCGCACAGACGGCGCGCTCTGGCAGACAGAGCAGCGGCCGCCCGGTCGCTGCTCCGCCCCGTCCGAATCCGTCCGCCCGCGCATGCCGCTGCCGCCGCCGCCGCCGCCACCGCCGCCGCGTTTCCCCGCGCCGCCACGCTTCCCTGTGCACCTGACCGCGCTCGAGCTGCGCACAGACCGCGGCGCGCTCTGGCAGACAGAGCAGCGGCCGCCCAGGCGGTCGCTGCTCCGCCCCGTCCGAGTCCGTCCGCCCGCGCGTGCCACTGCCGCCGCCGCCGCCGCTCCACCCGATCCCCGTGTGTCGTGAGAGTAATGCGCTTTGTGTATGGCAGATGGCACCCGCGGGTGACTGAGGTGACTGCGGTGTGTGTGTCCCCCGCGTGTGTGTGTGTGGACTTGTCACTTGAGCCTCTATGATTCGTAGACCATCTGCGCCGCAGCGCCTCGGAGAGGCGCGCAGGAGGCGCGCTCGTTTGTACTCGGGTTTGGATGGTAGCGGGGGGCCCCGCCGGAGGCTGGTTACTGATTCTTTCTTTCTTTCTTTTTCGCAACTTCGCGCTTCGCCGTGACTTCGCCGTGACTTCGCCATGACTTCGCGACTTCGCCGTGACTTCGCCGACTTCGCCAAGCTGCGAAGTTCGTGACTTCGCCGTGACTTCGCCGAAGTTGCGAAAAATGCTGGCCACCCTAGCCGTGATGAAAAGAAGTAAACCCGAATGAATGGGGGCTCCTGCCAGCTGTCTGTCCATATAGCGCTCGCGCGGCCGCCTGGGGGCTTGGCCTCACAGGACACAGCACACTCAAGCGTCAAGGGTGAGCGGCTGCATGCTGCTGATTGTTGTGTGTGAAATATGCGATATCGCTCAAATTCGTCCGCCAAAAATGGCTTCGCGGGGGCTCCCCCCCCCCACCCCCCCACCCCACCCCGCCCGCTCGCCGCGGCAGGCTACAAATTTAAGGCACTACAGGGATCATGGCCACCCCGCCCGCCCTCCCTGCCTGACCCTCCTCCACCCTGCACGACCAACCAGCCTCAAGGCTTGACGGTCAAGGGAGAGAGAATTCGCAAATAATCGTCTCGTTAGAATAATAGCGCATTACCCAGAGGCATAGCCACCCTGACTGTTTTGGCCTCATTCGCAGCTCGTTTTTCTTGAAAGCGCTGCGACTTTTCGTCCCGGGTCGCCGCCACAGCCAGCAAGAGCAGAAGCTACCACCGCCCGAGCAACGACATGGTCACCGTCGCCACCGACACCTTAGGCGGTTGTATCACCGCATTCGCCACCTGCCTCACTCGCTGCCGGCCCGCCCGCCCTTGCATCGCCATCCACCCTCGAGGCACAGCAAAGCACAGCGAGCGTACGCTGCCTCCGGTCATCGTGTCGGTGAGCTGCTCGCTGATAGCTGGATATCATCTGACGTGCTCTTCCTTCGATAATGTCGAGCCCGAGTCCCAGGTCCAAACGGACTTGGACTTGCAGTGCCTGGAGGCCGATCTGAAGGTCGAGATCGATGAGAGAGACGCCACGTCACCCTGACGCTGCCACACACGCGACGCCCGTATACGGTTGCCTGTTGCATGCTTAGTTATATGTATCTCTGTCCGTTTCGCACGAGCAGAGACAGTACTGATCTACAAGCTCGTATGTAAACGTGTCTCCGCGAAACGAGAGCCTTAAACAGGAAGCGCTCGGGACTAGGTCCAGCCCTGGGTGGCGCAGGTTGTGACATTTGGCGATTCCGCGACTTACTGGGCCCCTGAGCCGCTACCCGTGTGCGATTTTTTGTGGCCCGGACATGATACTGATAGTAAACGGGTCAGAACCGGCCAAACACAGGCTACAGCCCCACACACGCGCCCGCCATAGCTCCTGGAGAGCATGCGCGAGTGACGCGCTGCAAGCCGCGAGAGTGGCATCAGAGGCAGGAACGACGTGCTCTTGCTGCACCTCGCAGCTGCACCAAGTGTGCTCGCAGTGTATGCCACGGCCACTGCCTGCGGCATTGCTCTCGTGCAGCTAGGCGATGCAGGTCCATCAGCAGGGCTCATCCAATGCGAGCGCACATTGTGCGTAGCCGCGGGCAGGTGGCAGTGCACAGCCGCACACCGGCTGTGGCGGCTCGAATGCCCCCGGCAGTGCTGCTAGTCATCAACTTGCGTATTAGGGCCGCAGCAGACTGCTGCTATGGCAGCAGCAGCAGCCTGCTGCTGCCTGATTCAGTCAAGCCAGCGGTGCAGCGAGGCGTGCAGAATTCGCGCGGTTTGGTACCTCCTGAGGCTGAGCGCGTTCAGACTCGGTGACCGGAGTTGGATGGTTCGATGGAGCTCGGCGAGCTCCATCGAACCATCCATGGCCGGACGGCGGAGCGTGAGGTGGCGAGCGGAGAGATGTACCGCAAGACCAAAAAAACACGGATCTGACGATTGTCACATGGTCGCCGCGCTCGCGCTCGCTCCGCTCGATGACATCGTGAGGCCCAACGCAACGGTCTGCGAGCTCTTTTCGCCCAGCGGGTCCACCACAGAGTTCTCCCAGTCATGTGCCCAAATGCGCCCGCCGTTTTTCGTCCCCCCCCCCCTCGCCCGCCGACTTTGATTGGGTCCAGTTCAACCTCACTCTCATCTTATCTATTACAGACACAAAACGTCAGATCTGCGCCACCCAGGGCTGGACCTAGTCTCGGCAGTGTGTGCTGTGTGGTTTTGGCTGTTGCCTCACCCATCACCCATGGTCTCACAGACAGTAAGCCGGTAGTCGCCGAGCAGCGTCGCTCACACAAGCCACAGCGCAAGTGACTGATGGCCAGTTAGGGCGACCGTCAATGTCACACACGACACAGCTGTGGCAGCCTGTGTGTGTGCAAAGTGTGCAGTTTGCAGAGCGTGCTGGCTGCTGGTGCTGTGTGGGCCAACGGCCGTGGTTGGGTGTCGTCCGACTGTCGTGTACGGTGTGCGAGCAGCAGTACGATACAGTAGAGGTCTGACCAGCAGTGCAGAGAGAGTCCAGAGGAAGCCGCGCGTGTGTGCGTGCCGCTATATCTCGATCAAGACACAAGAGTCAACTCAAGTGCCGCGTCTCCTACACACTCCCGGACTCCGTCGGGCTCGCGTCTCCCTGCCCACGCGGGAGCTGGGTGGAGCGCAGTGTGTGTGTATATGTCTGTGTCTGTGTCTGTGTCTGTGTCGGTGTCCCTGTCGTGTCGTGTCGAGAGCTAACTCTCTCGCACTATAGCCGCTCTCGCCCTCCCCGCCCCTGACGTCTCTCGCAAGCCTTTCGCTTTCGCCCCCGCCGGGCCCGGCCCGCACCGCGCACGCTCCTCGCTCGACAGAACCCGGACGATCGGTGCGTGTTTGCTTCTCTACGAAAACACACACTCCCAGCGCCATCGTGCATCGGGAAAGAGACTTTGGCGAGCCAACGCAGCCGAGAGTCGAGAGATAAAATCTCCGCAAGAGTAGGGTGCCCACAGGACCCAAAAGAAAATAGCTTTCCGCCTCAAAACGGGACGCACGAGGCAAATCTGATGTTGGAGTGTTCCAATAGGAGCGAGGCCTCTTCCGTTGGGGGACCGAGTGACTAGGAAACGAGGGTTTCCCATTGAGCATTGTGACCCGCTCGAGCACGAGCGTGACACTGCACTTGGCGCCCGCCGAGCGCCCGCGGCACAGACCTTGTGCAGGCTGCCGCTCATTGAGTGCACCGGTCCGGACCGATGGCGCTCGGTGTGGAGCAAGCAAGACACACCCACCCCCCATCGGCGCGCGCCCGACCTTTGAACGGCCGCCAGGAGCACCAAGAGGACTCCTCATGGCTGCTTGCAAGTGGGCTTCGACCGGCCTCGGCTGGGGGGGGGCGGGTTGTCCCGGCTGCGGACTTCTGCAGCCCCCTGGGCGTGGGTATCAGCACCCAAAACTGCCCCCTCGGCGGCATACAGCACTGCCAGCCAGCCTCTTCCTCCTCCTCAAGGGCTGTACTATAGGCCATATTGCGCCGCCTCCTACTGGCAGCCGGGCGGGCGCGCGCCGCGCGCGCCTCGGCGCGCACACGGCTCGCAACATTCGAACGAGTACTGCCGCCCGGCCGCCTCAAGGCTGTCGGGCGGCAGTACTCGCCTCGCAAGGCGCGCACCGGCTGCTCTGGATGCTGCGCCGGCGGCCGCTGCGCTGGCCGCTGCTGCGCTGGCCGGCGAGCGGGGTACGACCGCTGGCGGCCGCTGCACCCGCGCCTTCCCTCGCCGGCGCCGTCGCGCCGCGCGCGCCCAACTCTGCTGGCACACGGCACGCGTCGTCACTCAGCCGCAGAGAACAGGCGGTGCAGCGCGCGAAGCGCGCGCGATCTCGTACTTTCGTGAAACTGAAACGCGGAACGCGATTTAGATCGCGTTCCTCAACGCTTGCGATTCAGCGCTGTCGCGCCGCTGGATGATCTTGCTCAGCTCGCCGAGCTCGACCTGAACGCTCAGCGGCGCGACCGCTGAATCGCAGCCGTTCGTGCTGCACGCATGTGCATCTTTGCAGTTTCAGATTACTTCCCCCCTCCCTACCTTTGAGAATCCCCAGCGTCCCTCCCTCCTAGTCACAATCTCAATATCTCGACTCTCCAACACGAAGTGCTGCGATGGGGCTTGCCCCATTTCTTTTTTCCTTTCTTTTTTTGGGCCCTGACCCCTGTGGGCACCCTAGCAAGAGACTATAGACAATGGAGAGAGACAGGCCGCCCACAAGAGAGTCAGCTGTCAGGCCGCGCACAGCGCGAACTCCTCGCCGTCGCTGAGCCTAGCGCAGCGCGAACTCGCCGTCTGAGCCTAGCGCAGCTCGAATAAAAATGAGCGTCGATTATTCTTTTTTATCGTCCACTCGCCGCGGCAGGCCACTGCAGCCTCGCGAACGTCGCGCACAGATCCAGGAGGCTGCCCACCAAGCAGCAGAGTGCTGCACCGGCATGCAGCGGAGGCTGTGGCGCTGCGGCGCCGTCTCCCCGCTCTGTCCACGGAGCAGGCGAGCGGCGGCACGGCCCTCCACCAGTCGCAGGAGGTGCGCACCTCCCAAAGGAAGCACCAACCAGATGCTCCCTCAGCACACGCAGCTTTGCGCAGCGCAGCGCACGGGCCACGCCACGCAAAGCCGACCCTCAGTCTGCCTGAGAGGCTGTCTGCGGAAGGCCTGGCAAGCGCGCGCCCGGGCGAGCGAGCAGCAAAGAGTGGAGGCGCGCCGGCAGAATTCTTTTTTATCATCCTAAGGAGCGCATCACAAGCAGGCGCCGCTCCCCTGCAACCAAATGGTCTACATCTGCCTCCTGCATGCTGGCCGGTTCAGCGAGGCGATCCAGCCTTTCGCCTCGATGACGATCAAGGGCCTGTACGAGGACGCCGCCTGCATCGTCCCGGGCAACAACGAGAAGTACTGCCCGAACGACCCGCAGAAGAGCGAGTGCTACGCGTCCACCTGCGTGAGCGGCACCGACTTCTGCGCGACGGAGCAGGTGGCCACCTTCGCGCGGCAGGAGAAGCGCGACAAGAAGACCAACGAGCTATCCATCAAGTACGAGCCGACGTGGCACCGCGAGAAGCGGCAGCACACGTGCTGCCACTACCCCGAGACGGAGGCTGTGTGGGACAGCCAGTGGGCGCGGATCGACCTCTGGGACGAGGACGCGTTGGGCGGGAACGACTACCTCGGCGGGCTCGACCTCGACCTCCAGAACAAGGCGGACGCCAACTTCACCTTTGTCGTGGCGGAACACGAGGAGGACTTTTCGCTCAAGGGCAACAACATCACGGTGGAGGTCGCCACGTTCTGGCACAAGCCGATGGACTTCGCGGTGTCGCACGAGTGGGACGCGTCGCCCAAGCACTGGTCCTCCCTCGGCCTCTCGGTCACCGCCTCGGGCCCTCCGTGGGAAGGGGGCCGGCCCCCC